AAAAAATAAAAACAGCTTCATTGAAAAATAAAATGACCTTTATGTCAATATAATTTAAGCGTACTTCTTAAGGCCCTATGTTTTAAAAACAAACAACACTGGCATTCTCAAAGTGTGACCTTTAAAGATATACTCAGGGAACTCGTTTACCATATGAAATTTATTATCCCCTGGGGTATTTGGAGTTGCAAATTACAACTGTCTTAGCAAATGTGAAAAGTAATGTCTCCTGTTACATATTAACTAGGATTGTGTCAGTTCATTTCTCTGTTAGTATCAAATTATAAAATATTCATATATAATCAAGATATATTCGCAATAGTATTAAAGGAAGCACTGTGTACTTGACAGTTGGTAAATTATGAAATCGTTTTTTCATGATTAAATCATTGCCTTTATGTGTACAAAATTTTCAAGTTAATCTATAGAACCGTGTAATCCTGCAATGTACAAGTTACTGTGGAGTATTATCAGAGCTTAGAATTTTGTCACTTGCTGTACAGAAATATTATTGGATTAACAATATTTTAGTTGCCTGCCATGTTCAGAAAATTACTTTAGAAATAAGAAAAGACTGTTAAAAGAGACTAGAAATTGCAGTCTTCACTATTTAAATGAAATAATGAATATGCCACATAAAGATTTTAGAACCCAATGAAGCAATATTAGAAGCAGATATAAAATGACAATGAAAATTGTATGCAAAATTTTGAGGCAAATGAACTGTCAGTGATGAGTTTAACTTATTAGAACAAGTTTCCTGTCAGAAAAAGTTTTGATGTTGTTTTAAAGGAAGAATATGAATTGGCCCTGATTGCAGCATTTAAGACAAACAGAAAGACGCAGAAATGCCTCGTGCTAGAGAGCAGACATGTTTGTCTGACTAGCACAGATCTTGCTGTCAGTTAGCAAAGAATAAGATTGACCCTCTGGTTTTATCCTTAAGTTTATAATAAGAGGTTGCTTAGCGTAGTAAAGAAACAGACATGATTCAAAATCCTCTCTCCATTCACTCAAGCAGATTGCTTTTCTGAGCTCTGATTTTGAACAAGAATGCCAATCTCATACTGTGGTTACGAGGCTTGAAGCTGCTAATCTAGGTACAATGCTTGGAACGTAATGGGCTCTAAACAAATATTAGTCTTTTTCCCTTCATAGGTCAAATACAACACAGTGCTGTGTGACCAGGAAATGTGTTAAGCTTTATTGTCTCCCTTTTAAGATCAAATACAATATCCAGTCCAAAAGTTGAGTGTCAACAAAGTAACCTTTATTTTAGGTTCTCAGCAGTTGTCTTGGAACATGTTTTCTCCTAGTACTCAGGTGATTTAAAGAAAGATCAGAAATGGTTCAAGGGGCCAGGAGAGCCTTTGGCCTACATTATTCTGAATGTCATCTACTGTGCTAAGTGGATATGGTCACAGAAATTGGTCTTCAGAACCGGTCACAGAAACATGCACAGCAGAGGGGAAGGGCTGGACTGGGGTGGATTTACCAGGAAGCTAAAGAGCCTACGCTTCAGAGACTCTTACCTGCACGAGTCCCTTCTTAGGCTTTGCACCTAATTTGTATTTGTAATTTACGTTCTTCTCCTTAAAGAGGGCCCCTCAAATTAGATAACCTTCAGGCCCCTGGATCCACTCTGACTGGACTGTCAGGTAAAAAACAAGAAATTTTTCAGGCTAAAAGCCTGAAAAAAGGATGAGGTGGCCAATAGCAGGAAAAGTAAGTTTTGCTTATATCAACCAAATAATGATTTGTTAGTAACCCTTGACCAAAGCTAGCCCTTGGCCATCTAGGGAGATGCTCTTTAGTCCAGCATCAGCCTAAGAATTATCCATATGAGGAAGTGAGACAGGGGACCACCTGGCAATCAGGGGGTGAACAGTTACATCACCCAGGCATTTGATGTCTCACCTTATTAGGTAGGTGGAGGGGAAGGGATAGATGGGAACCAATATTATATTGACTTGACTCGGTATGTGCCACAGTGGGTTAGGCTCTGAACAAATATTATCACATTTTTATTCTCATGTAAGTGATATCATATAAATTGAGGCTTGAGAGAGGTGAAGTAGCTTCTTTATACAGCTAGTAGAGCCAGAATTTAAACACAGGGCCTCTTAAAGTCAAAGCCCACGTTCTTCGGGCGATTTCCCTATGGGGCAGCGGCTTACCTACCAAGAATCAATCAACCACTGGGAGAGAATGAACATTTAATCTACAATCAACCTAATGATTGTGAATATCTAACATCCTGCCAAACATTTAGTAAACTTTTCTTTCTTGGTACATTCACTTATCATGTATTAAGTGCCTGCTCTGTGCCAATCATTGTGCTTCCTGTAATGTGCTACCCTTTCCGTAGCTGTTACTTCTTCAAAATGGTCACATCACCTAGAAACTCTCCAGATAGGTAGGTAGGTAGGTAGATAGATAGATAGATAGATAGATAGATAAAGTAGGTAGGTAGGTAGGTGAATAGATAGATGGATGGGTTCACAAACACGTGCATTGCTCAAATGAAACTTTCACCACTACTATGATTAATATCTTTTGTTATTTTTTTTTTAATATTGAGGAAGGTTGGCCCTGAGCTAATATCTGTTATCAATCTTCCTCTACTTTTTAGCTTGAGGAAGACTGGCCCTGAGCTAACACCTGTGTCAATCTTCCCCTACTTTTTATATGTGGGTCACTGCCACAGCATGGCTTGATGAGTGGTGTATGTCCACACCTGGGATCCAAACCTGAGAACCTGGGCTGCCAAAGCGGAGTGCACTGAACTTAACCACTAGGCCACTGGGCCAGCCTTTTGTTATTTTCAAAGCAGCATCAGAAGTCCTTTTAAAATTCATATTGTTCCTTTAAATTAAAGCTTAAAATATTAGTTATTTAGTCACTAAACTGAAATACTACTTATGATTTGGAGTTAGCAAGTGAAAAATTTTTATTCTCAAAACCTATAAAATAAGGTTATATTTTGAAATGGATAATTTTCTTTTTCTCTCAACCTTTTAATTTCTCTTTTCACATTAAAGATCTCTTTTTCCTGGATGATTTTATCACATTTCCGTAATCATTGTCCAGTTTTTGAAGAATATAATTATAACTGCACCGTTGCTGAAGCTTAGGGAGCTGCACTGTGTACTGGAGAAGGAAAGCATGATTTCAAATGAAGTGTAAAGTCATGGACTGTGGCCAAGTCTTAATTGAAGGGAGTCAAGCCACCACTGGAGGGATTGGCTCACATGTTGATTGGGAAGTTCTCAATTGCTTTAAAACATTCACTGACACACTAGACTCAAAGCAAAGTCATGGGTAGAAACTTAAAATAGTCCAAATGGTATTCGGAACATTTTAAATAAATTTTCTAAACAAAGAACTTAGATATAGATATAGATATAGACATAGACATGGATATATATAAAATCTCACATGTATGATAATAAAAAGTATATATATGACAAGAATTAGTGAGATGTGACTTGAATGTAGTAAGTGCCTACTCTATAGTGAACTGGGGAGACTGTTTTTAATCACATGAGGGTTGGGCAGTGTAACCAAACCTTTTCTTTTTTATTGATGTTTTAATAGTTTTTAACATTGTGAAATTTTGAGTTGTACATTTTTGTTTGTCCATCACCATATATATGTCTCCCTTC